AAAAAAAAAAAAAAAAAAAAAAAAAAAAAAAAAAAAAACGAGAAGATCGTACGTGGAGGGCACACTACTGAGTACTATATCTTTCCAGTTAAACGAACACTAAATAAAAATATATATAATTATTTGTTATTGAAAACAACAACAAAAGGATGCCTTCTTCTTCTCCTTCTTAAAAAAAAAAATTAAAAAAAATTCCTCACCTCTTTCGCTCCCTGGTGCTGCAGAGTAATTCGCCTTATCTTGCGCACCGTCCGATTCTGCACCAGAGTAATCTCCACCGTCCGTTGTCCGATCCGATGGGTCTTTTCCATCCACAGGACCTGCTGCAGAATGTCGGGATCGGGACATGCCGCGATCACGCATGTCAGGTGAAGAGACAAACATGTTAGATTGCCCACGTGGCGAATTCCGTACGGTCCCTGGAGACCGTACGGTCTTTTGTGAAAAAGGATAAGAAGAAGAAGAAGAAGAGGATGTGGTGGTCCCGGGAGACTGACCTCCTGAAGAACGTGGTTGCCTTTGTGGAGGCTGCGCCTGGAATGCAGCTGGCAGGTCGGGATCGAAGTACTCCTCACTAATGCCTGAACCCGATCCGGACCGCTCTGTTGCAGACGAAGAAGAGGGGGGAAGCAATGAACCAGGCACAGAAGGAGGATTACTGATCATAACTGTGTCTGGATTCACTGCATCAGCACCAGGAACAACTGCAACTGAACCAGGAGGAACAAGATGGCCTGCTGGACCAGGAACAGAAGGAACAAGCGCGCCGACTGAACCAGGAGGAACAAGAGGGCCTGCTGGACCAGGAACAAAAGGAACGGGGGTAGGACTGACAGCTGAACCAGGACCAGGAGTGAGTGAACCAGGAGCAGGAGGAGGAATGGTGTAGGTGGTGCGCTTGCGTGGGCTTTCGAGATTGACAGGAGGGAGAGAAGGTAGTGCAGCCGTTGACTCGGTGCCGATGTTTGACTTGGACTCACCCGTTGCTGCGGAGTCCGACAAGCCTGGTCTCAGTCGGGACGTCGCATATTCTTCAGAAGTTCCTGCCCATCTTGTCGGGATGGCAGCGGCCGAAGCAGCAGGGGGAGGGGGGGCAAGCCCTTCCTGTCGGGATCGTGTCCTCAGGTCTTGCTCACCACCACCACCACCACCTCCTCTCTCATCTCCTCCCCATGACGGGATCCCGATCATCCCGGGATGTTTCACGTCACTCAAAGGACCACTGCCAACGTTTGGACCGCGGTGACCCCCCCCATTTATACCACCTCCACTCCCACTTCTCCCCCCTCCTTGACTTTCGTCGTCTCTTCTCTGCGAGCCTGGCGCTGCCGCTGCGGATGTAGCACTTGCCGTCTTTGCCCTGAAGTTTGTGCCCTGCGACCCACTGCCGGTCAAGTGGATCGAGGTCCCAGGTCGGGACTCGGGTTGGGCCCAGGCGGCGGCCCCAGGTTGGGACTGAGGTCTTACATGAGGATCTCTTCCAGTTTCTGCATCAGACCGCATTTCTCGACCAGGAACACGCGTCCATCCATTCATCATGCCAACACCATCATCATGCCATCATGATCCTCATGTTAATCATTCGATTCCAAGTGTCGGACCATAGCTTCACTGTCGTTTTTTTTTTTTTTTTCCCTCACAAGAAAGTTGAAGAACCCCCCCTCTTCTTTATATTCTGGGAGGGCGCCAGTCCGGTTGTGCTTATCCCCGGCAACGGCGGCAAGCATCAAAGTAATGAGACAGAGGGAACATTGTTATAGTGTCACTGTGTCACATGGCTGTCGTATCACAATTGGCATGCATCACTTTTATGCACTGCTGCTGCGATGGAACGTCTCACCAGTGTCCCAGCCTCCCAGGTTCACCAGTGTCCCAGGTTCGGACCAGAGTCCCAGGTTCTCACCAGTGTCCCAGGTCCGGACCAGAGTCCCAGGTTCTCACCAGTGTCCCAGGTTCGGACCAGAGTCCCAGGTTCTCAGCACTGTCACCAGAGTCCCAGGTTCGGACCAGTCCCAGGTTCTCACCACTGTCCCAGGTTCTCACCACTGTCCCAGGTTCGGACCAGAGTCCCAGGTTCTCACCAGTGTCCCAGGTTCGGACCAG